TAATATAATAAATTACTTTATATAATTAATATATAATAATTAAATATAATAAATAATAATATATCACTTGCTAATGTGAAATGGCCATTGTTCGGCTGGTGTTTGTATTTTGTGTATCGAATAGCCTATGTACAATTAACTATAAAAGTCAACTTTTTTTGAAATTTTGGGTAAATATGAAAAAACCCGTTTAATAAAATGTCCAAAACAAACGGTCTTTACCTACAAATTGCAATTGTTTTTTTGTTAAATCAGTTTTCCAACCACGTTTAAAATGAAAAATTAATAAGGCACTCGAACGTGAGTAAACGAAAAGTTTTTGATTCGAGTAGATTATTTCTGGAGTAAAAAAAAAAACACGATTTTATTCATAAAATAAATTTTGTACTTTTAATTTTACAATAATAAATTAGCATTTTCGTTTAATAAAATGAGAAATAATCGTTTCCGACTTTAATATTAAAATACAATATGTAATACCTATGTGATACCCGTTATGTTGATAATACGTTTTTATTTGACAAACGGTCCAATATTACATGCCTCATGGCAATTACTGCAGACAATAACTTTTGGGAATGGGCCTACACATAAAGTATATGTTTATCAGGTAAAAAATGGGTTATGGAAATTTATTTCAAGACAAAATAAACCAAAACGTTATCATAAAACTTAAAAATAAAAACACCGATATTAATTTTTTGAAACGTAATCGGTTTTGTAAACGGGCTACTCGTTGTTCATACATTGTGCTGCCTCGACGATCACGGGCGAGTCTAGATATTTAACAATACTACTATTGAGCAAACGTAGTAAATCAGTCTTGGACTTTCAAAAATATATAAAATAAATTTAAACAAATGTAAAGACGTCATAATCGCGACGGTTTACTCGTTCGAATCGGTTAACGATTTAATTAAAATAGAGTCGAGCGTTTGGCAGTCTTGTTTTTAATAGAAATCGGGACAGCTTTAATAGCCGAATAGGTTATATATTTTTACAATGACAATTTAAATTGTTTTTACTATTTTCGGTGTAATCTTAAGTCGATTCGGTCGGTGTTGCCGCCGTCAAAATATCGCATAGAGTTTTGATGATAACTACGCGACACGTAAAACTACTAACGACCCGAATTCGACACCGCCCCCTTCGGTCTCTTCATACCGCAGACTCTTAGAGCCCACGCGATAATTTTTCAATACACGTGCAGATTGCGAATCGAAAAGATTTTTTAGTTTAACTCGAAATTAACGAGTCCTAATCGACCTCGAAAGAGGTGTATCGTTGAATAGTCGGACTGGTCGGAACAACCTCCTGCGGCACGTCGGCCGTCGATTTTAAGTGAAAACTCGACCGACCGACGGATTTGCTATAACGTTGGCTTTAAGGAGAACGAGATTTATCGCCGTTGAGTGATTTTCGAGCGGAAAAAACGAGATAAAACGGAACGGGATCACGTCAAAACGGAAAATTCGATTCCGTAAGCGTTTACTAGTCGGTATGGCGACGAGTATATAGACGGTGTGACGGCCAAACTCGAGTTATACACACCGTTCCTGTTCATTTTGCCAGAGTACCAGAGTCTATTTTCAAACCGCTTCACCATGACCGACACCGCAGTCGCCGCACCAGCACCAGCCGCCTCGTCGCCGGCCCAGGCCAAGTCGCCGAAAAAGAAGTCCGCCGCTCCCAAGGCGAAGAAAGCCGCACCGGCTCATCCTACCACGGCCGTGATGGTGATCGCAGCCGTCAAGGAACTGAAGGAGAAAAAAGGATCGTCGTTGCCGGCTATCAAGAAATATTTGGCCGCCAACTACAAAGTGGACGCTGCCAAGCTAGCGCCTTTCATCCGCAAATTCCTAAAGTCGGCCGTCGCCAGCGGCAAGCTGGTCCAGACCAAGGGCAACGGAGCGTCGGGCCATTTCAAATTGGCCGCCGAAGTCAAAAAAGAGAAGAAGGTAGCGCCGAAAAAGAAGCCGATCGCCAAGAAAGCGGCGGTGTCCAAGGCGCCCGGAGCGGCCAAGAAGAGGAAGAGCACCGGTGCCAAGAAACCGAAATCCGGCGAGCCCGCCGCCAAGAAGGTGAAAAAGGTAGCCGCAGCGCCTAAACCCAAAGCCGCGAAACCGAAAAAGTCTCCGGCCAAGGCTAAGAAAGCGCCGGCCACCAAAGCCAAGGCACCCAAGGCGAAGAAGGTGGCAGTCAAGAAGACGGCTGCGCCCAAAAAGAAGGCGTAATTTGTTAAAAACACTCTCTTAAACCCTTAAAACGGTCCTTTTCAGGACCACCAAATATTTATATAATACAATATACACAACAAGCGTGTCGCGCGGTGTCTCGTACCGATATTTTATAGATTATAGTAATACAAACTACAGTAAGTAATAGTGATTGTGAAATGGAATGAAAAAGTTAAAACGACTACAACATGGGTAAATACGTTTATTGTTGTATGTATATTTAGGAAAATGATTGACTATTGCAGATAATAACATTTAATTGATTTGACAATACTTAAGACTGTCTGGCCAGCCCTAAACCCTAATTGACTTATAATTACAAGTATGGCTGTATGCCCACAACAAAACTTTAAATATATCAAAATAACAATAATTATGAAATATTACAAATTCACCTGACTGATTAAAAACGGAAAATAACAACAGACGCGGCCGCTGCGCTGTGCGTTAAACGGCACACGCGAGATATAGATAACAGGACAAAAACAAACGAGCTGAATGAACGACCCACGTCGTTGTATTCATTTGTATTTCATTGTAAATTTGTATTCAAATTCAAATACTTGTGTACTATAGTCGTATATGATAAACTGTACACGAAAAACCGTCTCGATATCGATCAATTCTAAAAGCAATATCTGTTGACGTACACACCATCCATACATACATACATACATGCATACATACTCACATACAAACGTACTTCATAATCGCTTTTTTTATATTGTACCTATCTGTAAATTGTTCAATAAAACCCCAAATATGCACTCGAAATTTATTTTCTACTTATTTTTAAATATAACTTGTATTTTTTAAATATTATGTTCATACTAGTTGTAACCGCAAAACTTAAATAAAAATAGTTTTTATAAAAAATAAATTTAACACTTTTAAATAAACAAAATTTTAAAATATGACGCAATTATCGAAAATAATAAAACATTTGAGTACCCACCTGCCCAAGAATAAAAAAATCCCAAAATATACAAAAAAAAAAAAATGTTCGATTCTTTAAAATGTAATTAAAAATTGTAACTTGTCAGTGTCGTATACGCACTTTGGTACACGAACCGTTAAACACACACACACACACTTAAAACCGACGGGAGAAAAGGTAACACTTTTAAATTAAGTAAAAGAAAAGTAACTCAAAAGTTAATAAACACACACACAATTATAATATTCGTAAAAACAATAATGCGCGCGACAATACCCTCCTGGTAATAAAACGGTCTATTACGGGAGAGTGCCCCCGACAAAGTAATTTGGGCGGCCTTAAATGATAAACATTATTGACATTTTTACTGTGTAGACAATTTTGTATAGTTTTGTTTTGATTGTTTGGCCTACGTTTAATTGCTTATTTGCTAAAATACGTTGGTCTTTAAGAACTATACTGCAGTCAGATCTATTTTTCAGACCATTCGGTACAAGTCCCGGGCCCTAAAAATATAATATATTCAAATGCAATAATATTATACTCTGCCAGTAAACTGTGTCGTTATGCAATTAACTCGAGTGAGCAGATCACTGTTGTATTTTATTTTAGTTAATAAAGCTGTTATATACATATATAGCTAATTTAAGTGTTATCTATAGCTAATATTGTTTTCCCGTTTTTTTCTAATTTGTGTAGTGAATTTATATTTTTAGTAATGTAATGTGAAAAAATTCGCCGAATGTACAAATAAAATACACGTCGTAGTACTAACCGACGACAAACGTAATATAATGATACAAAAGACGATAACACACACGGCGGTCGTCCGGTCGGTGATATTGTCAATAAAAATTAAAAACCCCAGATATTAATAACTTAAATAGGATACACTACGAATAATAATAATATTATTATATAATAACGTGTATCAGAATAATAATTTGGTGGCCCTGAAAAGGGCCGTTTTAAGTGGATATAGCGCGCGACTAATATCGAAATGCTTATTTGGAACTGGTGTACTTGGTCACGGCCTTGGTGCCTTCACTGACGGCGTGCTTGGCCAATTCACCGGGCAACAGGAGACGGACGGCGGTCTGGATCTCCCGGCTGGTGATGGTCGAACGCTTGTTGTAGTGGGCCAGACGGCTGGATTCGGCGGCGATGCGTTCGAAAATGTCGTTGACGAAGCTGTTCATGATGCTCATAGCCTTGGAGGAAACGCCGGTGTCGGGGTGCACTTGTTTCAACACCTTGTAGATGTAAATACCGTACGATTCTTTCCTCTTCGGCTTGCGCTTCTTGTCGGACTTGGTGATGTTTTTCTGCGCCTTGCCGGACTTCTTCATGGCCTTGCCTGCGGATTTACCTCCTGGTGCCATAGTGACTGCGGTTGTACACGGTTTGCGGGTCGTCGAAATAGTTGGCCGGTAGCTGGTGGACGAATGATGGTTCGAAAATCGTTTACGCTCATATTTATTACGCGTCGCGACTTCGTTTATCGAGTACGATTTGTAAGAGTCGACGAAAAAACGACGAGTAAGATTAACACTTTGTGTTTAAAAGCGAACCCTACAATGTGCCGTTTTTTCATCGTCAACGTCTAAGCATCAAAGAAAAACACGACGAGTATAAACAACACTTTGCATTGAACGTTTATGTCTACAAAGTGTGGTTTTTCGTCGTCGTTATTTTCAAACGTAGGCCAACATACAGACGCATTTACGTCTTAAAAGTGTATAAATACCGATTTTGGCCTGTTCCGATCATCAGTATCGTCTGGATTTTCTCTCGTTTCACTACACGACAATCTACAATCGAGCATCATGAGCGGACGCGGCAAAGGAGGAAAAGCAAAGAGCGGCAAATCGAAGACCCGGTCGTCCCGTGCCGGACTCCAGTTCCCGGTCGGTCGTATCCATCGTCTGTTGAGGAAGGGCAACTACGCCGAGCGCGTCGGTGCCGGCGCTCCCGTGTACCTGGCCGCCGTCATGGAGTACTTGGCCGCTGAAGTGTTGGAGTTGGCCGGTAACGCCGCCCGTGACAACAAGAAGACCCGTATCATCCCCAGACATTTACAGTTGGCCATCAGGAACGACGAGGAGTTGAACAAACTGTTGTCCGGCGTCACCATTGCCCAAGGTGGTGTGCTGCCCAACATCCAAGCCGTCCTTTTGCCCAAGAAGACCGAAAAGAAAGCTTAAGAACGTCGTCGCCGTATTTATACATATTAAAACGGCCCTTTTCAGGGCCACCAAATATTAACTATTTTTACAACACTCTTGTTGTTTTCGACATAAATGATGTGTGGCGTTGTATTATTTTGTCAAGCCTTAGAAAATATAAGTAATTCAAACAACTGTAACTTGGAATTTCAGCAAATCTACTTTAATTTTTTCTTTAGGTCAATAACAATTTATAAAATATGACTATAACTCAAACTGGAAATAATATTCAAGTATAATATAAATAAATAATTTTTTTTTTCCAACATTCCAGTTTGCTATTTAGCTACAACATCAGCCGGCACTACAATGATAACATCATTGGTTAATATCGAAATATTGTCTCTTCAATAATAATGTCATCGATATTAATAGATATAATAGATTTAGATCAATGACTTGCAATATTATATTATTGTGATAATAAATTAGTACTATATCATATATGTCTATTTTACCAATGGGCTATAGTTATAAAAATCGTATATTACCCACGTGCGATTCTACTAATTGTGTAATATACAAATATACAATTAGTATGTTATATTTTTTTATAATAAATTATACATTTAGTTTGTTTTATTTTTTTATGTCAACTAGCATGTATGTTACAGAGAACATAATAGTCTGTATGTACTATAAAAAATATTAATTTGAACAATTACAAATGTATACCGTTAAAACTACTCGTGTGTATTTATATTATTATAATGGCAATACGCTATAACGTTTTGTTAGTTTATACGGTATACTTCATAATATAACTATTTTGCGCATCCAGTCACATGACACACACTATTATATTAGCGTACTCATGTAGCCGACTGCGAATTGCATTAAATGACATAAACGTTAATGAATAATTGTAATAATATAAAATGGTGGCCCTGAAAAGGGCCGTTTTAAAGAACAGTAGGTAGGGTGCAAAGCGAACGGTCGTCGGGAATTAACCTCCGAATCCGTACAGAGTGCGGCCTTGGCGTTTCAGAGCGTAGACCACGTCCATGGCGGTGACGGTCTTCCTCTTGGCGTGCTCGGTGTAGGTGACGGCGTCGCGGATTACGTTTTCCAGGAACACCTTCAACACTCCGCGGGTCTCTTCGTAGATCAGGCCGGAGATACGTTTGACACCACCGCGGCGGGCTAACCGACGAATGGCCGGCTTGGTGATTCCTTGGATGTTGTCCCGGAGCACTTTACGATGACGTTTGGCGCCTCCTTTTCCCAAACCTTTTCCTCCTTTGCCGCGTCCGGTCATTGTTGCTGATTGTCGTTCGGAGAGCTGCGGTAGACTGAAGAAACAAATCGAATGATGCCCGGACAACGTTTTCGCGCCGTATTTATATGATCGGGCCGTCGCGCGGACCAATCACGGCGCGGTATCGCGAGATCTCCCTCTATTCCGGCAGGCCGTTCCGTCGACCAATGAGAACTCGCGCCTACGATCCGAATTTGTATATATACGAGCTCATTCGGTGTGCGGAGACATATTCGACCGTTTCGAGTTTTCACAGACAGTCTACGAACTACCGACATGGCCCGTACCAAGCAAACCGCCCGCAAATCTACCGGAGGCAAGGCTCCCAGGAAGCAGTTGGCCACCAAAGCCGCCCGCAAGAGCGCACCGGCGACCGGAGGAGTGAAGAAACCCCATCGTTACCGTCCCGGTACCGTGGCTCTCCGTGAAATCCGTCGTTACCAGAAGAGCACCGAGCTGTTGATCCGCAAATTGCCGTTCCAACGTTTGGTCCGTGAGATCGCCCAAGACTTCAAGACCGACTTGCGTTTCCAGAGCTCGGCCGTCATGGCTCTGCAAGAAGCCAGCGAAGCGTACTTGGTCGGTCTGTTCGAAGACACCAACTTGTGCGCTATCCACGCCAAGCGTGTTACCATCATGCCCAAGGACATCCAGTTGGCTCGCCGTATTCGCGGAGAACGTGCTTAATCGTCTCAATACTCTACAAATCCTCTTTAAAACGGCCCTTTTCAGGGCCACTACATGCGTTACAATTATTTCTCTATCGACCTTACAGCGGGCGCCGCGCTGTTGATAAAATTAATACAACAGTTTTATTATTATCGACGGTCGTGGGTATCCCCCCGAGAATGTTGTTACTTACATTTTTAGATTAATGTTGAAAATTCCCAACGACCGTTTTTATTGAAGTATTATTTATATTTAAAAAAAAAAAAGCGGGTAAAAGAATAGGCGGTGGCGGTAGACGATGAACGGGTCGGTATCAGTGGCGGTTTTCCCGGGGAGGCGGTGCCTCCCTTGAAAATTGAGGAAACTATGTACTTAATATTGTTATTATGATGAGATATTTTGGTTTACATTAAATATTTTCAATCGAAAATATTGGAAAAAATGTACATGAACAATAATTTTTGAAAGCGAAAAAAAAAATTTAAGAATTTGAAATAACGTCTCTCCGTATCAGCGGTGACCGTCTGAAAGCAACGGCCGCCGTCCGCCGGCCGCTGCCTGTTGTTACTCACGTGGCATAAGGGCAGCCGGCGGAGGCGGCTGCCGCTAATGTCTCACGTTATGTTGTTGTGTTCACAACATACACACACACACATACATAAAATAATACGAATAGCGCATGCGCAATTCTCTGCGAGAGGCGACACAAAAACATTGCCTTTGTGGGCAACTGACCGATGATCGTTCTTATCTTAGGGAAGAAATGGGACATAGACATTCAGCATGTACAATAGCACCGACACTGCCAACAACAAAACGCCATTTCCCATTATCACTAAATTATTTATCAGCAGTCCCAATTTGAATTTTGATATCACTATATTTTTTACTTAATTCTGATACCGGTTTACTATTTGGCGTTTTATTTAGTTTTCTCAAGTTATTAGTTAATATACTATTATACTTATTAGCTTTATTTTTTTTTCAAAATGAATCCTGTATATGACAGTATAGTGTTTATTAAGCAGCATCCATACAGGAAATCGTTTGCGATTATAATTTCATCTTTTGTAAATTGTATTTACATATGTTTTTATGATTATACATTTATCTTAAGTTCGTACATTTTAATGATAATTATTTTAATAGATGACCGGTAATGCGATTATAACTAATAACTAGGATAATAAGCAAAAGTCTTCTCTTACAGTATGAAGAAATTTTAGGTCTGGGGGGGGGTTTTGCGCTTTTTTTTATCAATAAGGGTACAAAGTTGTTGCCTCCTCAACAATTTAATGCCAGAACCGCCACTGGTCGGTATAGCGTTAGGCATAGTGTGAAATGTATTTTTGGCGCGCGCGGGAAGTAGTCGGCGGCGGCGGCCGCGTTATAGTCGATATGAGTTTGTTAGGTTGTAGAACGCGGTGTGTAAAGGAATTATTATTTTCTATCCGGTTTGTCCGACGGGAGGGATGAACGCGTTATTAAAAAAAAAAATAATAAAAAACCCCGTAGATTGTGGCGCGTCGTTTAAAACTATGTTATCTGAAAGTAGGTAGATATGGGCTCCACACGTTTCCGCGGCACTGGATTTAAAATACACGGACAGTGACGATACCAATAGGTTCTATACGTTTGTGAAAACTGAAAACTAAATAATATAATAAATTACTTTATATAATTAATATATAATAATTAAATATAATAAATAATAATATATCACTTGCTAATGTGAAATGGCCATTGTTCGGCTGGTGTTTGTATTTTGTGTATCGAATAGCCTATGTACAATTAACTATAAAAGTCAACTTTTTTTGAAATTTTGGGTAAATATGAAAAAACCCGTTTAATAAAATGTCCAAAACAAACGGTCTTTACCTACAAATTGCAATTGTTTTTTTGTTAAATCAGTTTTCCAACCACGTTTAAAATGAAAAATTAATAAGGCACTCGAACGTGAGTAAACGAAAAGTTTTTGATTCGAGTAGATTATTTCTGGAGTAAAAAAAAAAACACGATTTTATTCATAAAATAAATTTTGTACTTTTAATTTTACAATAATAAATTAGCATTTTCGTTTAATAAAATGAGAAATAATCGTTTCCGACTTTAATATTAAAATACAATATGTAATACCTATGTGATACCCGTTATGTTGATAATACGTTTTTATTTGACAAACGGTCCAATATTACATGCCTCATGGCAATTACTGCAGACAATAACTTTTGGGAATGGGCCTACACATAAAGTATATGTTTATCAGGTAAAAAATGGGTTATGGAAATTTATTTCAAGACAAAATAAACCAAAACGTTATCATAAAACTTAAAAATAAAAACACCGATATTAATTTTTTGAAACGTAATCGGTTTTGTAAACGGGCTACTCGTTGTTCATACATTGTGCTGCCTCGACGATCACGGGCGAGTCTAGATATTTAACAATACTACTATTGAGCAAACGTAGTAAATCAGTCTTGGACTTTCAAAAATATATAAAATAAATTTAAACAAATGTAAAGACGTCATAATCGCGACGGTTTACTCGTTCGAATCGGTTAACGATTTAATTAAAATAGAGTCGAGCGTTTGGCAGTCTTGTTTTTAATAGAAATCGGGACAGCTTTAATAGCCGAATAGGTTATATATTTTTACAATGACAATTTAAATTGTTTTTACTATTTTCGGTGTAATCTTAAGTCGATTCGGTCGGTGTTGCCGCCGTCAAAATATCGCATAGAGTTTTGATGATAACTACGCGACACGTAAAACTACTAACGACCCGAATTCGACACCGCCCCCTTCGGTCTCTTCATACCGCAGACTCTTAGAGCCCACGCGATAATTTTTCAATACACGTGCAGATTGCGAATCGAAAAGATTTTTTAGTTTAACTCGAAATTAACGAGTCCTAATCGACCTCGAAAGAGGTGTATCGTTGAATAGTCGGACTGGTCGGAACAACCTCCTGCGGCACGTCGGCCGTCGATTTTAAGTGAAAACTCGACCGACCGACGGATTTGCTATAACGTTGGCTTTAAGGAGAACGA